GCAGGGGCTATTAAAGGGAGCCAAGAGTGGGAAGATTGAGTTCTGTGAGTACTGTGTTCTTGGCAAGAAGACGAATGTGAAGTTCGGGACTGCTGTTCATCAAACGAGGGGCATCCTAGACTACGTGTACACAGACGTTTGGGGTCCCACCAAGACTGCATCACTTGGTAGTCGACATTGGTTCGTCACGTTTGTTGATGACTATTCTAGGCGTTGTTGGGTGTACACCATAAAGCATAAGAATGAAGTCCTAGATTTGTTTGTGGAGTGGAAGAAGAGATTGAAACTGCAGACTGGGAGAAAGATCAAGACGTTGCGATCCGACAACAACGGTGAATATACTTCAGACCCCTTTCTGCAGCTATGTCGAGACGAGGGCATAGAGAGACACTTCACGGTTAGTCATACACCGCAGCAGAATGGGGTGGCAGAGAGAATAAATCGGTCTTTACTGGAGAAGATCCGATGCTTATTGTCGCAGAGTAGTTTAGAAAAGATTTTTTGGACTGAGGCACTTACATATGCGAGCCACCTCATTATTAGGCTGCCTTCATCTGTGATTGAGGAGAAAACCCCTATGGAGATGTGGTCAGGAGAGCCAGCACGAGATTATGACCAACTCAAGGTATTCAGGTGCCCTGCATTTTATCATGTGAGAACTGATAAGTTGGAACCTTGAGCTAGGAAGATCATATTTGTAGGATTCAAGCGTGGTATCAAGGGATACAAGCTTTGGGATCCAGTTGATAAGAAGATTATACTGAGTAGGGACGTCACGTTTGATGAGACTTCTATCTTGAAGCTTCCCAGCTCTCATCAGGTAGAGAACGACCCGACGGAGGAGATATCATAGGTGGTGGAGATCGATGCAGCTTCGCATTGTCCAGATGGTACAGTAATAGTATCCATTAGAGTGCCGACTGAGGTGACGCCAGGCGAGCACGACGATGACACGGGGGATATAAGTACTGATGTGCAGGATCAGGGACTGACGGCTCAGGTTCAGAATTCGATTGTGGTTCGGAGACAGAGGAGAAACATACAGATGCTAGCACGGTATGCCGACACAGTTACGTATGCACTTCCGGTGGAGAGTATCGATGAGTTTGTGCCTACTACATTCAGAGAGGCCGAGCAGAGTTCGGAGGCTGATTCGTGGCAGGTGGCTATGCAGGAGGAGATGGAATCTCTTCATAAGAACGATACATGGGAGCTTGTTGAGCTTCCAAAGGGGCGGAAAGCAATTGGTTGTAAGTGGGTATACACGAAGAAGGAGGGTATCAAGGGTACTCCATTTAGGTTCAAAGCTAGGTTGGTTACGAAGGGCTATGCACAGGAGGAAGGTATTGACTATAATGAGGTTTTCTCTCCGATGGTGAAGCATTCTTCGATTCGGATTTTGCTAGCTTTGGTTGCATAGTATGGTTTGGAGTTAGATCAATTAGATGTGAAGACGGTATTTTTTCATGGTGATCTTGATGAAGAAATATATATGACTTAGCCATTGGGATTCTGAGCTGCAAGAAAAGATAAGTTGGTTTACAAGTTAAAGAAATCGCTATACGGTTTGAAGCAGTCTCCTCGACAATGGTATAAGCGATTCGATGGTTTTATGATTGGTCATTTGTACACTCGGAGCCAGTTTGATCCTTGCGTATATTTTCACAAGTTAAAAGGAGGTGCGTACATCTATTTGTTACTTTATGTCGATGACATGTTGGTTGCATCTACTTCCAGGTTGGCTATAGATGAGTTAAAAATTCAGCTTTCAAATGAGTTTGAGATGAAGGACTTGGGCGAGGTGAAACGTATTTTAGGGATGGAGATCTGTAGAGACAAGAAGAATGGTAGAATTTGTTTGACACAGGTGGCTTATTTGAAGAAGGTTCTACAGCGATTTCATGTTAGCATGGATACGAAACTAGTTTGTGTACCATTGGGAGCTCATTTGAAGCTTTCAGCTGGTCTTTCACCGAAGATAGTTGAAGATCGAGAGTTGATGTCGAAGACTCCATATGCGAGCACGGTTGGAAGCTTGATGTATGCGATGGTATGTACGAGGCCAGATTTATCACAGGCGGTGAGCATGGTTTTGAGATACATGCACATCCAGGAGTGAGTCATTGGGACGTCGTGAGATGGATTTTAAGGTACATTCGAGGTACGCTCAATGTTGGTTTAGTTTATGTGCAGGACACTACAGGTGGGTAGCTATGCATTGGTTATGTTGATTCGGATTATGTCGGAGATTTGGATAAGCATCGATCTATGACGGGGTATGTGTTCACTTTGACCCGTGCACCGGTGTGTTGGAGATGCACCTTACAGTTGATGGTGGATTTGTCTACAATGAAGGCAGAGTATATGACAGTTACAGAGGCTGTGAAGGAGGCTATTTGGCTTCGAGGACTTTTGGAGGAACTTAGTATATCGCAGAGGTCCGTCACTATTCATTATGATAGCATGAGTACTATCTATTTGGCGAAGAATCAGGTTTTTCATGCGAGGACGAAGCACATTGACGTTCGTTATCACTTCGTTCGAGATGTTCTTGAAGATGGCGATGTGGAGATTATGAAGGTCCACATGAAGGATAATCTGGCGGATATGCTTACAAAGGTGGTTCCGAGCAACAAGTTTGATCATTATCGAAACTTGTTAAACATTCGTGATTGTTGAGGCCGTTGGCGGCTATTTGGATGAACTACGGGAGGTTTGATTCCTTGGGAAAGACGATACGTAGGCAGTCTTTATGATGCAGCCAATTTGGATTAGTTGATGGGGGTGAGATTGTTTGGACTCTCGTTCGGGTTCTCGACTTGTTGTGGATTGAGTTCGTACTGGACACAACAAGTTGGAACATTTGGATGCTTTGGTGTCAGCTCAGTTTTGGAAAAAACTTCGCCGAGGTAGAGAATTGTGAACGTGGGGGGCCACCACGTGACCATGTGAATAGGAACGCGGTTTAAATTTCCGTGTGAAGAGAAACGGACGCGCACACGGCTTTAGTTTGTGTGATGGCCCACCCGAAGTGACATTACGCTGCTATATATATTCCTCTCTTTCATGTTCTAGGTTTTTGAGCACGGAGTTTGTTAGCGGCTACAGGTGTGCAGGCACAAGATCAAGGAGAAAAAGTTGGCTAGTTTTTTTTTCTTTGGCAGCGTGCAGCCGTTGTTTGTGACGGAGGAGTTCTTTTGTGCATCCTTTTGTAGAAAGAGATTGTGTGAGAGGTTTGAGAGTTTGTGTGAGGGTTTAGATTGAGTGATTGTAAACCCTAGCTGTATTCTCTCCCTCTAGTAGTAGATCTCCCCCTCCTTACCCAGTGGATGTAAGCAATTTGCCGAACCACGTAAAAATTGGTTGTACCGCTATTTGTGTGATTTGTAATAGCTTTTAGGTTCCCTCGACAGGTCAGTCTTAGAACTGATGAAAGGAAGAGCTGATATCTCACTTGGTTGAGATATTTTGCTTAAGGTTCTTGTTTCTTTTGTGAAACAAGATTTCCTATTGCGACCTGACTCTCTTGCTGTGCTGAAGTGCTGCCGAGGTGCTGCCGAAATCTCCGCTGTGCGCAACAAGTGGTATCAGAGCCCAGATTTCAGATCTAGGGTTTTAGAGTTTGGTGGAGGAAGACTTTTGTAACGGGATATCCCTGCAGGTTTAGGCTCTGTTTGGCAAAACTAGCTGAAAGCTGCGAGATTATAGCTGAAAGCTGTTAAGCTAGCTGAAAGCTGTGAAATTGTAGCTGAAAACCGTTACAAAACTGTTCCCTTAGACATCAAAGAGGATGGTTTTAAACCGCACCCCACAAACTGTTCCCATAGACCAATTATGTGGTAAGCACCCACAATCAATTTACAATAGATATTAGACAGGAAGCTTGCAACTTACAACGGTTGCAAATTGAAAAGTTATCAACCATATTGGATGTCTATGCTCTAATCATAACCAACGTCAGGAGAACCCATAAAATCTGCATCATTCTTTTGAGTAACTGTTTCATATCGAGAGTGCATTCAGCAGAAGGTCTCTTTCTAAGAGTAGGCATCAAAAGTGATTTTGTCAAAAATATTTCCCAAAACAGAAAATCAATACCAGCAATATTTGTAGCTAATTAATCTAGGGGCATCTTGTAAGACTCTTAACAAATTATCTCATATGTCTCTAGAATTCAAGGAACCAACACACATGTATACTGGGGCATTACCAAGAAATGATAATAAGATGTTAAGTTGGTACCTAGCAACGTTGTGGATCACAAAAAAACATCCGCAAATGCTCAAACAAATGTGACAGTTTTTTATGACGGACACACGCAATACATGTTACCAAACAAATCTTACAAGAGTTTATGATGCTAGCAAATGATGTTGAAAGTATTACTTATAGGATCTTCAAATTAACTTCTTTATCCCGCCATTATCCTCTGTAACTCTTACCTTCAGCATGAAATTCCCACATAATTGGGAAGTCAGTAAGGAAAATAGAAGCACTACCTAATAAACATGCACAAGTCCTAAGATCAAGATGTGGATTGTCATAAACTCTCGTACACCTGCAAAATGAAACAAAAAATAATTATTAGGATGCCTAAAATATTCAGTGCACTCGTGAGTTAGCTTTAAAGAACAAAATTTGATTAGATGCATCCGCTAGTAGAAATTTTAATTTCCTAGACGGAATATTCTAGATGGAAAAATTTCCGTCTAGGATGTAATATCCCAGGCGGAAATTTTCCGTCTAGAATATTCCGTCTAGGATATACTATTCTAGACGGAAATTTCCGTCTAGAATAATATAGTAGACCGATTTATTTATTTAATTTTTTTAAAAATTAACTAAGCATCCTAGACGGAAATATTCCGTCTGGGTTGTATCCTAGACGGAAATTTCCGTCTAGGATACTCAGGTCAGTTTTTATTAAAAAAAATAAGCCACAAGCCCTAAATTCTGCCGCCTTAACCCCCCATTCTCCTGCCTCATTCCTAAATTCTCCCGCCTCAAATCCTAAATTCCCAAATTCTCCACGCCCTCTCATTCTTCTCCTCTGTTCGAAGGCCAGAACCGCCGTCCCGTCGTCCCCCTCGATCCCGCGCCCTCCTGTCGTCCTCCTCGACATCTTCGTCCCGTCGTCCTCCTCGACATTTCGTCGTCGCCTCCCCCTCAGCTCCTCGACATCCTCCTCAGACATCGTCGTCCCGTCGTCGCCTCCCCCTAAGCCCTTCAGCTCCTCGCCGTCCCGTTGTCCTCCTCGACATTTCGTCGTCATCCTCCTTTGACATCGCCATCCCGTCATCGTCTCTCCCCTCACCTCATGCCCGAGCCCTCCCTCTCCTCTGGTATCGCAGCCCATCCTCGCCGATACGAGAGGGAAGCACCGAATCTTAGCGGAGCTCAAGAGGTTTGAACAAGAAGCTCGATTCTTGGAGGTAGTTCAAATCTCTTAATTTTGAATTGTTAGTGTAAGTTTTGTCTAGTGTAGAATTTATGCCCTAGTAATTGATGGTTAAAGTAGTTTCTTTTTTAAGAGTTACCTGCTGAGTCCTTATGGAATCATGAGCCTGTAGGAAGTGAACGATAAAATTGATGACTTACAGTTACATTGTCATTTATTTATTTTTAAATACAATCAAGCCTTGGATAACAATTTCGTGTAATTAACACAATTTCAAGAGAGATTAAGTTCTCCATAGCATTATTTGATAAAATAAGCTTGTGCAGAGCAAGACTCCTCCTTTTTGTATAGATATTTAGAGCTATCTGGATGTCCTGTTCTCTAGCCTTTATTAGAGGTTGTTAATGAGAAGTATCACAATTTACTTGATAAAAGAAAAATTGAACATGAAACTGTGTTCTTTTAAATAAAATTGCATATTTGTCACTCTGATGGTTGAAGATGTATTCTTGAAAGGAACATTATTTTTCCACGATGATGTCTAGTTGCTATCTCTGCGTCTATAACTTTTTTTCCTCCAAATCAATAATAGATTAAGTGTATTTTATTGCATAAACCTTCTGATGAATCAATGTTTTTGACCAAGCTATGATATGTGATAAGTTGTCCGGAAAACCTGGTAAAATGTAAATTATTTATTTCATCAATATTGTCATATTTAACTGTTATCATTGCTCAATTAGTTATTAATTCAGGAGAGTAAGCAAGATTTTGTACATTTGGGACTACATATTCAAGTAGTTTATGTAAAGAAGTTATATCATCTACTTAAGGTACAATCAGAGGGGAAGGACGTCTTATCATGTCATCTATTGCAAGTTTTTCTGTTCTGTCTCCAATTGTAATATATAAATAAGTTTTTCTAGTTCCACCCGGACCATCTGTAAAGAAAAATGCAAGAGTGTTTGAGAATATATTTTGGCTTAGAGTATCAAATGCATATTTTTATTGTTTGTTTAGTTTTGATATTGTAAGAATCCCCCCCATTTCATTTTGGTCGATAGTTGTTGATTTCACTACGTTATGTGTTTCAATAAGAATCCTTTGAATCTGTTATTAATTTGATTAATGATCTCGTCATTTAGTTGTTGATTTGAGGCCTGGAGGGGTTTGTAATTTGCTTCAGGTTACTAATTTCTGATGTAAATAAGTATTGAAAAACATCATGATGTATTTAGATCAAAATTATTATTGTGTTTAATTGAAGTCATTGCTTCTGTTAAGAAAGATTTGTATTTTTTTATTTAACTGCGTCGTCTTTTAGAATCTTTCATACCTGGAAACATTTCTATCTTATTTGTGATATTTTACTTATTTTATTATTTGTTGAACTGTAACTTTAATTTTAATCTTGATGGATTATTCTCTTTCTGTGCCTAACTTATTTTATTATTTGTTGAACTGTAACTTTAATTTTAATCTTGATGGATTATTCTCTTTCTGTGCCTACGCAGGTGGTAGCTCATGAGCTCGCTCATAGCTGGACGGGAAACCATATTACAAACAAGACTAATGAGTATTTCTAGCTCAATGAGGTACATATATTTATTTTATTTATAAGTTGCTTCATTGTATTTACAAAAAAGCAACCTGATGTGGCATAATTATGTACCAAAAATGTTGCAAGTGCACAACCGTGTCAAGTTATAGTATAAAGATATCGATCCACGAGGAAGGTGTTTTGTAGGAGAAAATATAAAATCGATTCTTATGTTGTGTGCGTGACAAATAGGAGTGATGAGTAAATGTGATTGTGGAGAGATAATGAGAGTGAACGTGATAGTGTGTAAATCAATGTTTTTGAGAGTGGATGTGAGTAAAAAAAATAAATGTGATCAACAAGGCAAGAAGGAAGAATGAAAAAAATCGAGAAACAAATAAAAAATTAGGAATGAAAAATAAAATTCAAGAATAAAAGAAAATACAAGAAATTAAAGATGGTGGATTCAATTATAGATATGGGTAATCTAAAATTAAACTCATTTCTTAGAAAATGGTGATTTCCTAGAGGGTTCTAGCCTAAAGGCGAATCAAACAAAATAAAAATAAACAAAAAGAAAAACTAAACCCAAGAGGGTTCTAGCCTCAAGGTGAATAGTGCAAGAAATTAAAATCTAACTACAAAATAAATTGCAAAAATCTAAACTACAAACAAAATCTAAACTACAAAATAAATTACAAGAATTAAATGCAAGAAAATCAATCTACTCTATAAGCATGAAATAAATCTAAGGCAAGAGGGTTCTAGCCTCTTGGCTATTTAACAAGAAAATAAAATCTAACTAAGCATAGAAATAAAATAAGCAATAAAAAAAATAAAAGAGAAAAAGAAAAGAAATGCAAACCTCTAAATAATTCTTCATCTCCATCTTCATCATCCAACAAAGAGAAGAAATATTTAAAGTGGTAAAAAAATTATTATTATTAATTATAACAAAAAGTTATAAATTTGGAAGGCCTTCTTAATTAAGAGTAGCCCTCCTCTCCAAAAGAAGTTTCAAAAATTTTTACACCTCTAACCTCTCACTCTCTACCCCTATTTATAGTAAACATCAGTGAATGTGAGCCATTAGATCAAAATCTTATCCAAAACAATTGATTTTCAGCCATTGAGGCGTAACAGACTTCGTTGGTATCGATGCGGGCATCGATGCCGGCATCAATGCTGGCATCGATGTCAGGCTGCTTCCTTTTTCAGCCCGCAACTTTTCTTCTCTTTGGCTTTTGGGCTGCTGCTTCCTTTTTCAGCCCGCAACTTTTCTTCTCTTTGGCTTTTGGGCTTGGGCTTTTGGTATTTTTTTCTTCATTTGGGCTTCTGTTGATGTTTTCTTCTTTTTGGTTTTGGCCTTTTGGATAATTTGACAATTGATTTTCCAATGGGCTTCTTTGTTTTATTTCTTCATTAAATCAAGGGCTTTTTGTTGAGAGATTGGAGTTTGAGATTTATTCTTCATTAACCTACAATTAAAGATAAAAACAATTATTAGTGATATATTTATTCATATTAAATAGATAATGAGGGTATAAAATTGTAATAAAATGTGATTATCAAATACCCCCACACCTAAACTTTTGCTAGTCCTCTAGCAAAGAAAATAAAATAAAAGAAAACCTAACTCACTTTCGCAGGAATCGCGGTTGTATTTAACGCATACAACAAGTCTTTAAACCCCTAGGTTACCCTAGTGGATGAGTTGTAGTCTCGTGAGGGTTTGCAGTGAATATACCCACAAAATTCGGTCAACTTACCAAATTAAAGAAGTTAGTAAATAACTAAATTTACTTGATAATTAAAGATAGTTATTACTCAAGAAAACATTTTTATATATAACTCTAAGGTATATTTCCTAGAAAATATTCTTATTATAGCAATACAAAACCAAGTCAAACTTAGAAATTTAATTTAAAAGTTTTGAAAAGAACATGCTAACTCTTTGTTTAAAATAGTATTCAAGTTGCTTGATCTAAAATATTTTCCAAGACCATATATGCAAATATAACTATATATAAAACATTTATTAGTATTTTTATTTTTTATATTATTATTATTATTAACTCTTTCTCCCTTGGTGATTTTTTTCTACTTTAACGGGCTTTCTAAGTGATCATTTAACGAGTTTTGGGCCAATGGATCCCAACCCAATTGGGCTTAGGTCATTAAGTATAAAAATACTCCTTTGGCTTAATTACTCGGTCAACTTAGGCTTTATAAGATAGAATCACATTAAATTTAAGAGTTTTTTTTTGTGACCATTTTTCACACTCTTCTTTTGTAATTTTTTTATGTATATATATTCTGAAAAATATGTAAGTCAAGTCACTTTGAAAAATTATTTTTAACTCTAAGCTAAGCATGCATTCTATTATTTTAAATAAAGATCTAAGTTAAGGCTTAAGTAAAGTATACTATTTTGAAAATTATTTCTTAAGAACTTTATTTAGAGTTATCATAAAAGGTGAACTTGAGTAAATAACAGATTAGAAAATTTAAAATTCATCAAATAAATTAATTATTACATAACTCTATCAATTTGACAAGTGACGATATTTTTATAATTTTTTTTAAGGAAAAGGAAAAAAAATGACAAAAATGCAACTAAAAATATAAAATAAAGAGAAAAAAATAACTAATACCCACCCCCACACCTAAATTTTGCATTATCCTTAATGCAAACTCTATGATGCACAAAGTAAAACAATTAAGAAGTGAAATACTTACATTTGGTCGGCTAATAAAAATCTGCAAATACCTTTGGTTTGAGGAGGATGGAATCAAAAATTTATTCTTCTTTCTTTTTTTTTCTTTTTTTTCTCTTTTTTTTTCTTTTCTTTTTTTTTCTTTTTTTCTTCTTTTTTTTCAACTGAATAAGAAACTCTCGAATGAGAGAAGAATAAATTCTTTTTATTATTTTGAAATAAACAAAACAAATAATGTAGAATGAAGTGTTCAACACGAAGTGCTCGTATTCTACATTGAATCCTACCTTATTATTGAAAATTCTTCCCCGGATTTTAAATAAATTCAGAATAATATAATCAATAATGTGAAATTCTAAGCATTTTGGGGTGTTCAATAATTCTTGCAACAAAGTAAGGTAGGTATTATTGCTGTTATGCATTTTGTATTTCTTAATGAACTCAGACTCTTGTACTGTGAAGTTTTATTTTCTAACAACCAATTCTTCTGTAGAGTTCTGAAATTTTGGTTGTTGATTATTCTCCAAGAATCTAAGTTCATCAAGAAAGAGTTCTTCAAAATTTAATTCAAAGTAGCAAATGTTTAACACAGTTTCATTATTCTCAAGGACCTGATCTGCTTCTTCTAAATACTCTAACTCTTCATCAAAAAATTCCTCAAAACTCAAATCAGACTCTTCTTCTTCTTCTTCTGATCTTTCCTGAATGTAATTTATTTCTAGAGACTGATTATTTGGCTGGTCCCCTGGATTAAAAATGTTGAGATCAGCAGTCAAATTCCCAAAGGACAGCTTCATTTGACCAGTTCTACAGTTGATGAGAGCATTAGAAGTGGCTAAGAAAGATCGTCCAAAGATGACAGGTGTCTGTTCTTTGGGATTGGAAACAGGCTGTGTTTCCAAGACTACAAAATCTACTAGAAAAATAAAATCTCCAACCTTAATTAGAACATCCTCTAACTCACCCATAGGGACCTTAACAAATCTATCAGCCAACTGTAAGGTACATTTGGTTGGGTTCAGTATACCTAGACCCAATTGCTGGTAGGCTGAATATGTAAGCAAATTGACACAGGCCCCTAAGTCTAAAAGCGCCTTATCAATGTGAGTATTACCAATGATATATGAAATGATGGGGGAACCTGGATCTTTACGTTTCAAAGGGAGCAACCGGTCTAAATCTATCAAAAGCAGGCTCAGGTTCGGGTTCAGGTTCTTGGTCATCTGAGGGGAGTGATTGTTGAATAGATTCATCAGAAGGAGAAGGAGAAGGAATTTGTACAGGATCAAGAGTTTGACTTGGAGGAGTTCTTACTTGATTATCGACCTGTCTACCTAACCGAAGTGAATGGATTGCATTCACTTGAGCTTCATAGGATGAACTGCATCCTGTGTCCTTAGGGTTGACCACGGGTTGACCACGGGTTGACTCAGAAATTTTCCTTTCTCTCTTTCACTCACGGCACTAGCTAGTTGACCAAGTTGGGATTCTAATCTAGCTATAGCTTGAGTGTTGGAATTGAGCATTTGTCCGGTTGATTGCATAAAGGAATTCAGAGTGCTGGATGTTTGAGTCAACATATTCGTGGTTTGAGTGCAGGCCTTAATTATGGTTTCCAAACCCCTTTCCAAGACATTGAGACGCCTATCCTGATCTGGACTGTGAGGAGTCTGAATTACAGCTTGATGAAGAGGAGACTGATTTTGATACGGCAGATTGGGTTGTTGAAATTGTGGATTGAAAGGAACTGTGTTTCCCCTAGGAAATTGTTGGGTTGAAGCGGGAGTGAAGTTTTGAGTTCCGAGAGAATTTCCTTGATTCCATGCAAAGTTGGGATGATTTCTCCAATCTGGATTATAGGTTGGAGAAAATGGATCATTTCTAGGGCGTTGGAATGCAGCGTTCATCTGTCCTAATGGCTGATTATTTCCTAGGAGAGGGCATTCACTAGTAGAATTCGTAGTATTGCTGACGGCAACATCCCTGACGGGAGAATGTCGTCGGCGTTGTTTATATCCCTGACGGGAATAGCCGTCAAGGATGTGGCCGTCGGTAATGGAAATTTCCCGTCAGCGATGTTTACATTGCTGACGGGAGGTCCAACATCGCTGACGGGGTGCCGTCAGCGATGTTGAATTATTTTTGGTGGGGATTTATCCCTCCAAAAATTTTATTTTTGCTCCTGAAATTCTGGTCCGCCTCTCTCAGTTCGGATTTCCCATGGAAGAAACCCCCTGCCCTCAGCTTCGCCTCCCCCAAAACCTCTTGATCCGCTCCCAAATTTCCTCTCTCCCTCTACACGAACCCTACCCCCAATACGACCTCCGCCTCCAGTTCGACCTCCGCTCTCCAAATCTCCTCTCTCCAGCTTTCCAAATCCCTAAATCTCCTCTCTCCAAATCTCGGTTCGCTATTGCCATCACCTCCCGCTCCTCTCCGACTCCACCCCCGGCGCGTCGAGGCCCCGAACCCCAGTCTCCACTTCGTCGCTCACGGCGGCACCGAACCGCTCAGACTCGCAGTGATTTCTCGCCGGACTCGCCGCGGCACCGCCCCCGAGCAACTCGCAGAGACCTCCGTCAGTGATTTTTTAATTTTTTTTTTGTGATTTTAGGTTTTGTTGTTTCTTATTTGAGACTCGATTTCTTGGATTGCTATGCAGGAGATCCAAGCTGATCTTACATTTCTTTTTTGAGTGCTGTAGTTTTGCATCTTTTTGAGTTTGAAGCACTTGGATGCATATTATTTTCAACCGAACAGGTTCATGAAGAGGTAAGAATTTGAACCAAAAAAGTAGGGTCTTTTTCAATATTGCTTGGTCTATATATCACCTTATGTTGGTGTTGTATACAAAGATTTCATTCAGTAGGCTTCTAAGATTTCAAATCCATTTGAAAGAAATTGACAGTCACTAACTTATGAGGGGCTAATACCTAAAAGTTGTAATGAAATGATACTAAGTTGTGAGCTTAAGCCAGAAATGGAAAACATTCTCTAGCATGTGGGACAAAGAGGTGTTAGTGTCTGCGGGTGAGTGTACTTGTGTGTGAGTGCCTGTGTTTGTATCTTGTCATTGCTGGGTGAATTCTGGGATGGGAGGGCGAGGTGCAAGCAGGCAGTGTATGGATGTATGATTGTGTTGGAATAATCAACTTTAGCATTTATGGAGGTCACTTTGGATGTCAGTGGTATTCATGTTTCACGGATGATGCAATTTACTCCAAGGAAATAGCTCCTTCAAGAACCTTCTGCATTTATGAAGAGGTTTATATACAATTTCTTCTAGTTATAATGTATTTTTGGCTTTACTACTTTAATTATGTTAATCTCAAATGTTGTTATAAGATAAAAGTTTTAATCTGTAACCTATAACACATTGATAAGTTCAAGATAAAGGCAGTTGGTGCTACTAATAGGCTTGGATAAATTGAGGCTCCTCGAGTGGAAGAACGGGCTCATGGCTATTCAGGATAGAGTTGTAAACTGCCACTTCAAAGCTGGATACATTTAGGCTACCTTTGAGCCATCACTTGGACATAAAATATGCTGCCACCTCCACCATGCCCCTATCTTCCATTGAAATACAGTTTTGGATGTAGAGGTATCAAAGAGCTTTCTCTTCTTTTTTTAAGGTTGAGTTGCTATTTATGTGACGAAGCCTCTAGAATGTATTGAAGCATGTGAGAGTGGTCTTTTTTGTAATTGGATTGTTTTTATCTTACATATATTTACAAACCTCATTATGGAGTCGACTTGTTTACAGGTCGAAATGATGCACAAAGCTGGTCTCATTCAAGGGGGATCACTGGAAAATGCAATGGTTTGCAGGTGCAATAGCCTTTGCTACATTTACTGTTGCTTCAGTTATTGGTGGTTGTCTCATAAATGTCGCTTTAGCGCTAACAATATTATTTATTTCATATGTCATTGGGCTTTATCTTGTTGGAAAAAGATAATATGTTACCTGCAAAATACGATGATTCATTGTCATCTTGTTATGTTTTCTTTCCTGTCTTTCCATCAATATTTTATCTTTGCATCAATATTTCTTTTCTCATAGCACAACAAACCTAATAGTACTTATTAACAAATTAAATAACAGTAATCTATATAACGGCAAGTCCAAATCAGGAAAGGCGCACTTCACTGTCTCTTTTCCCCCTTTATATTCTGGCATTTCCCTTAAAACAAATAATAACAAATTCACATAAGCATGATCGTTTTATTTACAGGCTGGTCATTCACTGCATACTGAATTTGTGCGCCACTGACATACATTGTATGGTCGAGCCAGGTCATAGTGTAATTAGGATTTAGTGTATATGAGAATCTTCCACAAGATATCAACCTTAGACTGTTTTTTACAAATGAATTGTTGTTTTTTACAAATTTTGGTATTCATTTATAATACTCTTGACAGAATTTGCACTCACTTGAATTTTTCAACTTGATCAATTCCTTCAAGTTCATCTCGTCTTAGCATTTTCTATTCTCTCACATGCCATATCGTCGGCGTGGTCTTCTTACATGCTATCTCTTATATGTGCTAGCTTGTCCACATTCTTACCCTTTTCTTATTCACTGGTATAACAGAGCAGCGGTGATTCTGGTGCTAATGTGAAGCGCCTTGAACAAGAAACTGAGAGCAAAATCCTCCAGCTGAAGGAACAATCATCACGTGTCTCTCGCGATGTGGGTGATATGCTCTTGAGGCAGGTCACAACCGTAAAGAATTAGCTTTCAGCGTGTTTATGGCTGTGAAGGAATATTCAATATATTTATGAATATATGTATGTGTTGTGAGGAAATCTCTCCCCAGATCTTATAATCTTTTTTTTTTATAGACTCGGAGTCTGTGGAAATAAGGAGCCTAGGACTCTTATAATTCCTAAATTGTCTTTGTTGACTGCAATTGTTCCTGTATCAATTGTTCAGACTAGTTGGTCTGCAATAAAATTTGTCTATGTTTTCTGTGAAGGAATTTATCATCAGTCGCTGAAATTACTTCATTTTTTGTCGGATATATATATGTATATGATGTCTTGTGGTCCCCAATCTCTGACTTGACTGTGTTGGTAGCCAGTAAATTTTTATATAACATCCCTGACGGGCTTGCCGTCGGGGATGTTTATCCCCGACGGGCTTGCCGTCAGGGATGTTTCAACATCCCCGGCATGCCCGTCGGGGATGTTATGCACATCCCTGACGGGCTTGCCGTTAGGGATGTTTCAACATCCTAGATGGCGGGCGTCGTCAGGGAAGATGCCGTCAGTAATGCTTATTACTGACGGCTGCCCGTCAGGGATGTTTCTTCCCTGACGGGACTTTTCCTGACGGCATATCCTTGACGGGAAGCCGTCAAGGATATGTATTGCTGACTGGAAATTTGAATGCAGCGTTCATCTGTTCTAACAAGGATACCCATTTTTCTACTAGTGATTCCTCTGAAACGTGGGTAGGAGACTGACAATTATGACATCCTTAGGGCAGAAACATGATTGATTTGAGCTAGAGCTCGTTCCTTAACTTCTAAAGCTTCTAACCTCCGCAGAATCGTCGTCATCTTCGCTTCAGAAGCAATGTTTGACTCCAAGGAAGGACCACTAGACTTAGAATTGAGGACTAATGAAACCCTGTCATCACAGTGTTCCCACTGTATTGTTTTCTCGGATAAACTCTCTAGAAATTCCCAAGCTTCATCTGCGTTTTTCCTCATAAAATCTCCCTAACACATCGATTCTAAAGATGTTTTTGAAGAATAGTCCAATCCTTCATATATGACTTGGCACAATCGCCATTTTTCTAGACCATGATGAGGACATTGGATTAAAAGATCTTTGAATCGGTCGAAATATTTCTAGAATGGCTCTCCCGAGATAATTTTAAAGTTTTGAATGCTGTTCCTTAGCTTTACCGTTTTGTGAATAGGGAAAATTTTCTTAAAAAAACGGTGACAAATTCATCCCAAGTTGAGATGGAATTTATCGGTAAGCTGTACAGCCATTTTTTAGCTTTATCCTTAAGAGCAAATGGAATAAATCTAAGCTTAATCGTATCTTCGGTTAATTCTCTCATTTTAATCATAATACACACTTCCTCAAATTTCAAAATAAAAATATATGCATCTTCTGTTTCATTTCCAAGGAATTTGGGAAGCATGTTTATATAATGCGGTCTAAGCTCAAAATTTTCTCCATTTGCTTCGGGGAGCCTTATGCAAGATGGAATTATATTTCTGGTGGGGTAACACATATCTTGAAGAACGGGTTGATTTGTTATTTCTTGGATTAGTTCAACACGAATTAAACGATGAGAATTATCCCTAACCCAAGTTTGCATATACCAAAACAACTTCTTTTTATAAATTTTTTTTTCTTCTAAAGAAAGAAAGAAAATTAGTTTTTTTTTATTAGAAGAAAAAGAAAAATCCTAACTAAAACAAATCAAAGCAATCACTTTTTTAATCACTCTAATTCTAGGGTTAGCTTAACTCAACTAGACCAGCTCCTAACCAAAAACTCCTACAGTGAAAAGATTAAAGTTTTACCCAGGTAGTTAGCCAGGTAAGGATAGTACTAGAGGGTGATCAAAGATCAATTAAGTACCTCTTTCCTTGCGGAGCGCTTTACGCAACCCCTAAACCTTGCCTTAGACACCAACTAATCTGAGAAAACTTAAACCGGTTCACTTAAGGATTTCTTGTTCCTTATTGAGCTCGAATCCTTAGGGGCCAACGTCTAATGAGTTTTAGAAGGCTTGGGTTTGTGAAGTGAGGAATTAGTGATTTTTGGGCTAAGAAAAGGGTGATGAAATCCCTCACCTTATCTTGATTATGGGGTTTTGCCCTTAAAAATATTTTTAAGTGTGTGCCAAATCAAGATGCTCAAATCACTTGGTGAATTCCTACACTATATGAAATGCAACCCTATGAATTAAAAGAAACTAAAAAGGATGGAAGAAAAAAAATCTTTTTCTTTTTTTTAATTAGGGTATCTGTCTGGTTCCTTTCTGTTTCCTGTAATTCTTCACACAAAACCTTACAGTAAACGACCTCCGTTCTTTTCTATGAAATTCATTCTCAATCAACTTACCTTGTTCTTAATGGGACCAAGGATCCCCGGAGGAAGTTTGATGCGGCATAAACATGTACCAAAAAGGTTGCAAGTACACAACCGTGTCAAGTTATAGTATAAATATATCGATCCACGAGGAAGGTGTTTTGTAAAAGAAAATATAAAATCGTTTTTTATGTTGTGTGCGTGACAAATAGGAGTGATGAGTGAATGTGATTGTGGAGAGATAATGAGAGTGAACGTGATAGTGTGTAAATCAATGTTTTTGAGAGTGGATGTGAGTAAAAAAAATAAATATGATCAACAAGGCAAGAAGGAAGAATGAAAAAAATTAAGAAACAAATAAAAAATCAAGAATGGAAAATAAAATTCAAGAATAAAAGAAAATGTAAGAAATTAAAGATGGTGGATTCAATTATAGATATGGGTAATCTAAAATTGAACCAACTTCTTAGAAAAGGGTGATTTCCTAGAGGGTTCTAGCCTAAAGACGAATCAAACAAAATAAAAATAAGTAAAAAGAAAAACTAAACCCAAAAGGGTTCTAGCCTCAAGGTGAATAGTGCAAGAAATTAAAATCTAACTATAAAATAAATTGTAAAATCTAAACTACAAAATAAATTGTAAGAATTAAATACAAGAAAATAAATCTACTCTATAAGCATGAAATAAATCTAAGGCAAGAGGGTTCTAGCCTCTTGGCTATTTAACAAGAAAATAAAATCTAATTATAAGCATAGAAATAAATCTAAACTAATAAGTAATAAAAAAGAAATAAAAGAGAAAAAGGAAAGAAATGCAAACCTCTAAATAATTCTTCATCTCCATCTTCATCATCCAACAAAGAGAAGAAATATTTAAAGTGGTGAAAAAATTATTATTATTAATTGTAATAAAAAGTTACAAATTTGGAAGGCCTTCTCAATTAGGAGTAGCTCTCCTCTCTAAAAAGAGTTACAAAAATTTTCACATCTCTAACCCCTCACTTTCTACCCCTATTTATAGTAAACATCAGTGAATGTGAGCTATTGGATCAAAATCTTATCCAAAACAATTGATTTTCAGCCATTGAAGCGTAACAGACTCCGTTGGTATCGATGCCAGCATCGATACAGGCATCGATGCTGGCATCGATGCCGGCATCGATGCTGGCATCGATGTCAGGCTGCTTCCTTTTTCAGCCCGCAACTTTTCTTCTCTTTGGCTTTTGGGCTTGGGCTTTTGGTATTTTTTTTCTTCATTTGGGCTTCTGTTGATGTTTTCTTCTTTTTGGTTTTGGCCTTTTCGATAATTTGGCAATTGATTTTCCAATGAGCTTCTTTGCTTTATTTCTTCATTAAATCAAGGGCTTTTTGTTGAGAGATTGGAGTTTGAGATTTATTCTTCATTAACCTGCAATTAAAGATAAAAACAATTATTAGTGGTATATTTATTCATATTAAATAGATAATGAGGGTATAAAATTGTAATAAAATATGATTATCACAACCTTTTACAATCCTATTACTCTAATGTACCCTACGAAGAAATTTTGTTCACGAGCATGTAAGTTTATGAGTTAAAATCTTGCAAGGGGCTGCAAAACTATTCTCAAAAAGTTATTCGATTCAATACATTATATTTATTTCATATAGTCCATATATCTATTCTTTAGATGAATAAATTAATGAAATTATGCCTCCTGGTACGTGATTTTTAAATTACAGGGTTTCACGACATATGCAGAGAGGAGAATTGGCGAGGCAGTGCAAGGAAAGGAACGAGCGACTCTAAATATTGGGATTGGATGGAGGGGTTTGAATGACAAGATGGAGAGGTTTTAAGGATAATATGGAGTTCACAAAGCTAAAGCAGAATCAGCAGGGAGTGGATCCTGATGATGTTTATTCTCAAGTGCCATATGAGAAAGGGTTTCAATGTTCCTGGAATAGAGAATCAGATTGATCTTAAGCTGTGGGTCGAAGGTACAGGGATCCCTCCTGATGCAGTTTATGTAAAAGTTTGTAAACAATTTATGTATCTCTCTAATATTTTGGTGAATGTATTATTTGAATATAATTGGATTTGATATTGGAATACAATTAGATTGTGTTGGATATGAATAAAATTTGTTATTGTTCAATATTGTGTACATGTACTCAAAGTAGATTCAGTAAAAAAAAAACTACTGTAGCATAGCATCGTAGACGGAAATTCCGTCTATGATGCTTATTTTGATTAAAAAAATTGAAAAAAGCTTCTAGACAGAAATTCCGTCTAGGATGAGTATCCTAGAAGGAAATTTTCGTCTAGAATACCCATCCTAGATGGAATTTTTTTTCCGTCTAGGATGTAGTATTCTAGACAAAAATTCCGTCTAGGATAATCCGTCTAGGATGTATTCTAGACGGTTTTGAATTCCGCCTAAAATAATCCGTCTGGGATGTATTCTAGAAGGAATTTCGGTCTAGAAAATTACATCCTAGACGGAAACATCCTAGACGCGTATTCTAGACGGAATTCTGTCTAGAATACTCATTCTAAACGGAATTCTGATTTTTCTAGACGGAATTTTCCGTCTAGGATGCCTCATTTTTTACTTGTGATCTAAATCCCTGCATGTTTAATCATTTTACATTGTAGAGTGTACATTATTCAAAAAATTATAGAAAAAAATATCTCATAATATAGTGTAACAAACCTATATACTTTTTCATTGTAATATTTTACTTTTTCAGAAGGTTTTCTCATAATATAGCGTAACAAACCTTCTGAAAAAATATCTCTAGGCATGACCAACTTTACTTTCCCACCTAATAGAAAGTGTCTGGTGGACCATCTTGATCCAACCTAATAGCAAGGTTAG